GAGTATTAGATGTCAGTGAACAAAACCATGAATCTGACTGAGTTGAATTGTTGTGGCTAGAGTAAAATGGGCACAGCCAAGTGCCCCACTCATACCAATTTCATTGCCTTAAATTTCTGCCATATATAACCATTTCTTGCAGTTCCATTTGATCTAGTAAGCTCCTACAAAGCACATCTTTTGTGAATGCTTCTGTATTAATTACAGCTTTGGCACCAGGATTTTGTGGTCGCAATCATAGATCCTCATGTCCTCCCCTAATGTGAAAATGATGAGATATTCCAATAATTATTTTATTCTTTTGAATATTTTTTTTCTGTACAAAATGGAGATGATTGCATTGTTAAAATGGTGGGCTCTCTGCTGGATTTAGAACCCTGGCAATTGACCAACTTTTGCTATCTTTTAGAATTGCTGGCATTTTCAACTGGCCTCTGGATGCTACTAGTGTGGCATCTCTTAAATATGACAGAAATAGATCCACTGCAGGACTTTTGATAAGAAGCAGCATAGTATTTCTCACACATCTAAACTGTTGAAAACAACCCAGTGAAGCTTCAAATGTTGCCTGACCAAATATTAACCTTTCTGGTTTGCAAACATGGAGTAGGACTAGGAGTGGTGATTCATGTATTTCTAATTCAATCAATATTTCAGAAGAATGTTTTGCCTTTGGAACCATTCTGAATCAACGTCAAAACAATTAAGGTCCAATATTGTATATATCTAAAGGAAGTTCAACCTAGATTTGAAAAGCTCTTCTGTAACTCCAGTACAGGCTACTTACACTGTATATGAATAATTAGATCCCAATTCCCTTCATAGCAACCAAAACATATAGCCACAAGGGAATTATTTCTGTGCACATCAGTCTCAATGGATAACTGGGAAGACAGAGTATATATTACTGCTTTTTCCCTCCTGTAGCTCTGTTTTGATATGATGCATTAACTTAAAATCAGAGATTTTGTTGTGTAAAACAACAAAATTAAATTTTTTGTTGTGAATCCAACTCCAGGATCAGTGCAGGGAATTCAGAGCTGGAATATTCTCAGGATATGACTTTTCAAAGACATCTAACAAGGGAGAATCCATCAACCATCAATTAAAATCCATATTCCTTGTAACATAAGTCCATTGAATTTATCTCTTCAGATGTAGTAGAGAACACGTTTTGCTGTCCATCAGACATTTGAAGAGTGCCACGATATTCCTCTCTTCAGTTTTCCAGATCTCTTCTCCAAATTAAACAAGACCAGTTACTTTAATTTTTGTTCCTTACCATATTGTCTGCTATTGTGATTACCCTTCCTTTGAATCATAAAGGACATAAGTGAACCCAGTTCACCTATGTCCTTTATAATATCTAAGGCCTCAAACTGGATCTAGTAGATGAAATATATGGCTACCGCCGAATAATGTGAAGTTTTCAGAACACATTATGGTGTCCTGAAAACTTGTACTCCATTAAGGCAGCCTGAAATTACATTAGCTACGTTTGCACGTACATCACGCTGCTGACTCACTTTTAGTAATAGAGCAAACCAAGCAAATGTACATATTCTAGCTTAATCTGAGTACTATTTTTGCTTCAGAGAGGCAGGAAAAAAAATAAGAAAGGTCTTTTACTTTGATTTGTATCAAGGTTTGCTAATTTAATTCAGGCTGTATTTTAGGTACATCAAGGCTATTCCTGCATACAATAAAATAAATATATGTAGTACAGGATATGTCAGTTGTCAAAGGCACAGATCCCAAAAGTAATTTTCAGTAGAAGAATTATTATGGGTATTTAGAATAAAAAATAACTACATCAGATGTTCTTAAAATAAGCTACCTGCTAGTAAATGCAGCTTACTGCTACTGATATACTGTATACTAAGTATGATAAATACAGTACATAAGTTTCCTATTATAGAGTTGCACATCCCACAAGTTCAATTATTTGGACAAACACAGTTTTAAATAGTAATAGGAAAGAGGAAGATATGGAAGCATTAAAATTATTTTGATTCCTCCTCTCTAATTTGAAAATTGTGGTCTTGATATTTGATATTTTATTGATTGCATGTTTTCCTTACTATCAGATCCAAATTAAAATAATCTGTTAAAAATAATAAGATTCGAATAGATTGATTTGAATTGCACTGATTTGAATGGGCCTTTAATGGCAGCTGCATCTGGATCCAACATAATTGATGCATGTATCATTTTTAGCAGTAGACTTCTATGATGTACAATATGTGTCTTTTTCTTGAGAAGGTAATTGTAGAAATATACTTTTTTTTTTTTTGAATGGTAGAACCTTGTAGATTGAGCATCTGTCTAATAACTTAGATCTAGAGATGAAACCTTTCAATTAGTTGGAACAATTCCTATTTGGAATTGTTATAGACCATAACATTGTAGTGATAAAGTCATCTCACTGAATAAATGCAGTTGGGATTTCCGCACTTTGAAAGGATTTCTAAAGGGAGTTTAGGTTTATTAAATTCAGTGATTTAAACTTTGATTTGGTTAGACAACTATACTCTAGAAAATCAGTGAAAAATCAACTCTGTGTTGTTCATAGTTTATCAGTAATTTTGGTAGAGTGCTTTCTGGGAAAGCTGGGAGTTCAGGAGCTACTCCTAAAAATCACTTTGGATTTTGGATTTTTATGTCTATCTTCCCTAGGACATTTTTAAATGATTATTTTTTTTATGCCTTTTATATCATGTAAGTTGCTTTGGTTTCTTTCTTTGCATGGGAAAAACAGCACCATATTTTCATCAATCAATCAATACATTTTTTTTCAGTGTAGCGCCTTTTGTTCTGTTTCCTCTCCTCTGTTCATGATTTTCCTCACTTTCATCTATTTCTTTCAACAGGAAGGAATATTAATAACATATTCAATGAGATTGGGATCTTTTTTCCCCTCTCCTTGCTAAAGAGAGATGCAGGACTCTCTTGTTTGCCAAGGATTTAATGCTTTTATTCATTTTCTGTTTCCTATAGTTGTTTGCCCAGCCTTCTCTGGGAAACCTTTGCATAATTTCCTTGAGATACATAACTGTATACTAATATTAAAATTTTGATGACTACAGACAGAAAAAAAATTACCACATTTGTTACATTTGCATCTGTATGGATTATTAGACTGCTATCTACTCTCTTTTCTATTCCACACATAGAAAATGATTGTGGATTTGACCCCATAATCATCTCTGCCAGGATTCTGTATATAAGTGTAACCAACTAAATATTTATCGGAAGTTAACTGACAAGACTTTTAGTGAAAATGCTTTCCTCTGCTTTCATTTACAGCAATTATTATTTTGCTCTATAACTAGTTGTATGTAGTTATTATGATTGATATTACATTTTATTAAACAAATTTATTTGACTGCCCACGTACCAAAAGGAGCTCTATGAACAAACAAGGACAAAAACACAATGATTAAAAACCACTCAAGTAAAAAAAGACAATACTGAACCCCCAATAAAAGTCATATCCATAGGTCAAATATACCATTCCTATCCCATTAACTTTCAGGCTACCCACACCTGGAAGAAAACCAGTTCTTCATTGATTTCTTGAAGGCCAATGGACCCATTGCCAGACTTGATATTTTGCATTCAATAAATCTCACACCTTATAAATATACAATTTCCAGAACCCATGAGCTTATAGGATTTGGTGTTGAAAATTTCTAGTAGTTTAATCCTTAATACTTTTTTTTAATTGAAAATTATTATAATACAATACAGTACAATCAGTCAGACAGTGTTATTTTTCTACACAGAAAAATATTGGACATAATATAAATTTGGACAAATGGGAGATGATTTGGAATAGTAACTATAAATTAACAAAAACGGCAACATACAAAGAAAACCAATAGACAATGCTATACAGATGGCACCTAGCGCCCGCGAGATTAACAAAAATCTATCCAAATGTAAACCCCAAATGTTGGAAATGTGGATGTCACCAACGTACCTTCTTTCACATGTGGTGGTCCTGTCCCAAAGCAATGAGGTAGTGGAGAAAAATTCAAAATTGGCTACAAGAATCAACCAATGAAAAAATCGAATTGATACCTGAAACATTCTTCCTGGAAATACTAAAGACGAAATATCAGGGGGAAAAAAGATATCTAATCATACATATACTCAACTGCAGCAAGAATAGCTTACGCCCAATATTGGAAAAGAAAGGACACACCACCAGAGGAACATATTATTCAGAAGGTTCTAGAATGTGCCGAAATGAATAAATTAACTTTAGAATTAAATGAGAAAGAAGACTCAGAATATTATACGGTGTGGATGATTGGTACAGTGGATTGATAATAGAATAAAGAATAGATAAAAGTTAATATAAATCTTAAGATGCATATGTAAATTACATTATATTACGATGAAAAGTAAAAGAGGAATAATCCTTAATACTTAAACTGTTTTGCTAAATTTCAGTAACAACTTACAGATTTGGATAAACTTGGTAGTAACTTACTGGTGAATAAAATTTGTTTTTAATGACACAGCAGTAAGGATGTTGTAACAAGTCCAGATCCTTGATACAATAGCAACACTTTAAATATAAAACAGAAAAAAGGAGTGATGAGAAATTTTTTTTCAAAGGAAGTTGCAATATGACAGATTTATGTCATTAATGATGCTGCAAGCTAAATGCAGCCACCAGCATGAATTATGGCCTGCCAACTCCTTGATGAACTTTTGTTTTGTGCTATTAAGGAGCATGCAAAAATTGGAAACTTACTGAGTACAATATGGTACATACAAAACTGGTTGACTCTATTCAGTTTGGTGGATCACAGATTGTATAGACTAAAGAACTATGTTTTGAGAGTCCAGTCAAATTGCTAAGAGCCTGAAAAATACAGAATTGTATTCCATCTTAGATTTATGTTTGAAATCGGAAACTACCAAGCATACCAAGGAAAATATGTAGCAACCCAAATTTCATTCTTGAATTTTCTTGTTTCTTCTCCTAGCATGCTATGGAATTGTTCAGGTTCCCACTGGACCATGGTTCTGTCGAAAATGTGAATCGCAAGAAAGAGCCGCCAGGGTGGTGAGTACACATTGAAAACATGTCAGAAGAACAGAATAAAACTTACTCTGGAAACAGAGGCCTACAAACAATTGCTTCGCCCTGCATCTGGAGAATTGGTAGCTTCTGAACATGGAGCCTCTGTAACATTTTTAATAGCTGATGTCTGTATTATTAGATAGTTCACTCGTAGGTCTAATTATAAATACACCACTTAGAGAGCATAGAAATATTTATCTCCTATCCAGGGGTGGGTTCTACTTACCTTTACTACCGGTTCGCAACGAGATCATGCGTGTGCGATCACTTCGCAAGCGCCTTGCTTCTGTGTGTGCGCCTTGCTTCTGCACATGCGCAGAAGCTTCTGCACATATTCAACTCACCAATTATGACATCTGGGGCGGTGGGTGGGACCTCCCGCCGGTTTTACTATCGGTTCTTGTGAACCGGTCCAAACCAGAGGCAACTCACCACTGCTTCTATCCATGTTCTATACCCCTGAAAAGCCCCTTTATTTTAGGTGCAACTACATTTCTGTCATACTCGTTTCCTTATGAATGTAAAAAAGATATCATTTATGAAATGCGCATACCTAATTTGATTTGTTTGAAGGAGGAAACAGTTGCTTTTTCTTAGGAAATAATTGAAATTTTCATAGGCCGAAGAATCTTTTCAATTCTAGATTTGCCAGTTTTTCAGGCAGTCCCTGGTCTTGTAGCTATGACAGGCAAGATTGGGAGAAAGAAATTTTGATATTTTTTTTCAGATGAGTTTGATTTTAAAGTCATAAAGGACATGATGATTCACTTTTACTTATATTATATTGGTACATTAGCAACATTTCCCATAGAAGGTTTAAAAGACCCAGTCACCAAGGTAAACAAGAATTGGTTTACTCTGTTAAACAAGGAGCAAAAAGCCCAAGAGACTCTGGACTATATAGTACTCAAGATGTAAATAAATTCATTGCCATCTACTGGCTAAACTAAGAAAGTATTCTTCTACAACTTATTTCTTCTGAAATAGCAACCTCAGCTGGTTCCTTTTAGTCTTTTGTTGGCTACTCCAATCTCATACCTAGCCAGAAGTCTTTTGATGTCTGGTATGCATCCCTCTTTTCCCCAGATTTAAAACATGAATGGATTTTGTGCAGATAATGAAATTGTCATGGTATAATTGACAAGAATGCCCAAAAGTTGTGATGGCCTCAAAATGGGGAAGGTATAGTTATGTCAGATGCAATCCCTTCATTGACTAAAACACCAAACCTTAATCTTGGCCACTCTGCGCAGAAAGAAATGCAAGATTATGAAAGGAGTGAGTTGTTTCCTGTTCCTGGAATTTTGAAAAATGCCAGTTTTGACAGTCTTTAGACCTAGCCCTGTAAATAAGCAAAAAAGATAGGGCTGTTGCATACATTATGCTTATTACACATTTGGAAAAAAGATGTGAAACGTCAGAAAAAGACAACAAAAGTGGGTTTAGATTTCCATAACATTGGCATATCCTGATTTGTATGTTAAAGGCAAATTTATGCAGAATTGCTATAATAGAAATAGAGAGAAAATTACATTTTGGGCAGAACTTTAATTACAGGACCTGTATGTGTGTGCTTCTGGCCCAGGTGTGACTTCAAAGCTGCTCATCTCAATCTTCCTGGTTCCATACTTTTAGATTGGACATAAATCAGACATTTTAAAGTTGCCACAGTTGAGAAGCACTGGGTCAGATAGTTTTGCCTAAACCAAGATGACCCAGAAAACAGAAGGGAGGGGAGGAAGCAAACAAGCAAGCAAGGATAATCATGAGGGAGTCTAGCTGATACACAAGACAGGTTGTTTTGTGGGAGGGCTACATTTGTTAACTAAAATCTCCTTTGAATCAAACTTATCCATAATTATCCATAATTTAATATAGGGGGGCAATAGTACAGAGGTAATTGGCCTTTGACTTCCTACAGAATAATTTCTGAGCTTCCCAATCTAGTAAATCTGATGGTCTCTCATCCAAGTAGTAACCAATCCAAATTTTCATGATTATCCAAAATTGATGAGGTCCTGCTCTCTAACCGAGGAAGTGGGATTTATAATGAAAAGGAGTAAGAGGATGTTAGTAGTTAAGCCAAGAACTTCAGGATATAAAGAAATATATAGGGAGCCGTGGAGCAAGGAAGATGTAAAGAAAGAAAGGATGCTCATCTGCTTTTTTTGTGTGAGATAAGTGGAAGAGGAGCTTAGTTGCAACTTGTTGTTCTATTACTCTTTTGACTACCTTTCTGTCTGGGAAAATTAAATAATTGCAAGAAGCATTAAGCGGAGAAAGGAATGAAGTATCTGGTAATTCTAGCTAAGAGAGATAATGGAAGTAAATATGGCTTAAGTAGAAAAAAATGCAGTGCCTCTCAACTAGCACTCAAGATGGAACTAACTGAACCTTAGGAAGATTGCCTTTAATATTAGCTCAATGAGTGTAATTGCTGCTTACATTCGTAAAGGTTGAAATGAAATGCTCTAAGTATTATATCCACAAGAATGACTGCATATTTCCCAGTGGAGGAAGACTTGCAATGCGGATTCATAAGTTGAATATGTCCCTGGCTACTATAGTAGAAACAGATGGGTGGGAAATCCTGCTGCCTGGGTTCTTGCTTATTGTAGCTAGTATTTCACCTAACTCAGAGGTCTGCAACCTTAAACACTCAAAGAGCCATTTGGACCCATTTCCCACAGAAAAGAAAACACTGGGTGCCAAAAAACCTGGGTGGGCGTGGCCAATTCAACATCACTCCCAAGCAGTCATATGACCTGCCCCAGCCACGCCTACCCAGGTTTTGTGGCTCCCGGTGTTTTCTGTGGGAAATGGGTCTCTCTCTCTCTCTCTCCCTCCCTCACTCTCTCTTCTGTTTTTCTCTCCCTCTATCTTCCTTCCTTCCTTCCTTCCTTCCTTCCTTCCTTCCTTCCTTCCTTCCTCTCCCCTTCTCTCTCATTTGTTTCCCTCTTTTCCGTCATTCTCTCCCTCCACCTCTTTATTTCTCTCTCCTTTGTCTCCCTCATGTTTCTTTTTTTTCTCCCTCTCACTCTCCCTCCATCCTTTTCTCATTTCTCTTTTTCTCTCCTTTTCTCTCTCATTTCTCTCTCTTTCTCCCTTTCATTTTTTTCCTCTTTTTCCTCTCTCTCTCTTTCTTTCTTTCTTTCTTTCTTTCTTTCTTTCTTTCTTTCTTTCTCTTCCCCTTTTCTCTCATCTCTTACCCTCTTTCCCCTCTTATTTCTCTCTCCCTCTCTCTCCCTCCCTTTCTCCCTTCTCTCTCATTTCTCTCTTTTTCCTGTCTCTCATTCTCTCCCTCCATCATTTTCTCTTTTTCTCCCCCTTTCATTTCCGTTTTTCTCTCTTTTTCTTCTCCCTTTCTCCCTCTTTCTTTCTCTCCCCCTTCTATCTGTTTCCCTCTCTATTTCCCTCTCTCTTTCTCTGTCTCCAACTCTGTCTCATTTCTCTCTCCATCTCTCCCTTCTCTCTCATTTGTTCTCTCTCTTTTTCCTCTTTCTCATTCTCCATCACTTTCTCATTTCTCTCTCTTTTTCTTTCCTTTTCTCTCTCTCATCTTTTTTTCTCTCTTCCCCCTTTTCTCTCTTTCCACCCCTTTCTCTTGTGTGTATGTGTATGCTCCTTCTTGAACCATTTCCAAAACAGGTGAGGGTTGGTTTTTCGTTTTTTTTTTTTTTTTTTTGCTGATGTTCTTTCTTCTTCTTTGGGTGCTTTTTACCATATGATTTAAATCAAGAGTCATTTCAAGTTCCCAGATAAATGAAGCTCTTTCATCCCCCTGCTGTGACTCCCTGTTGGCTGGCTGGCTCCGCCTCTCACCCTCCCATCCCAGTCACTCCTCATGTAGCCTGAGAAGGTAAGGGTGACGGCAGGGATGGAGACTCCCTCTGAACGAGAGAGAAGCACCCCTGTACTTGCCTCTCATCTCACAGAGGCTTCTTTTGGCACTTCTTAGTGCTGCGCGTACCTTAGTCGCTTGGGGAGATGCGCAAGTTGCTCTCTGCCCCGAGATGCTGGCCCAGGCTGGCTGCGGCCAATGCTCCGCATCTTAATGGGCTTCAGGAGGAGGAGGAGGGGACACAGTTTACAATGCGGAGCATTGGCCGCAGCTAATGAGCATGTTCAGAATGGAAGATTTTTATAAAAATGACAAGCTGCCTTGGAGTGGACCCATTTCAGGCAATGGAGAGGCTATAGGTACAAGAAAGGAGGTCATGTTAAATTGAGAAGTTCTCCATGTTTGTATGTTTGATATAAGTTGTTATATATAACGTGTTTCCCTGAAAATAAGACTGGGTCTTATTTTTTTTTTAGGCTTGAAAAAAAGCACTTGTGCTTATTTTGTGGGAGGTCTTTTTTTTTTGAGGTGCAGGAGGCAACGAGCATGATCACCTCATGGCTGCTCGGTCCCTTAATGGCAGCCCACGGATCAGCTGATCCAGTGAGAGCTGGGAGTTCTGTCTCTCCGGGAGCACCTAGAGATGTTTCTGGCACATTCTTGCCAGCCCTAGCCCTGCCATAGCACCAGGCAACCTTGCAGCTGAGAGCTCCTCTCTTCCGCAGCTCACCTGTGGCTATTGAGCAGGTGGCGAGCATAGTTTGCACTCAGGTGTTGCTCAGGCTGCTGCTAAGATGAGGCAGAAAGCCATACGGCCCATCAGAATTGGCTCCCCCCCCCCTCTACCCGGTTGCTGCTGCTTCAAAAAAGGACGAAAACCCAGGCCAGGATTGGGTCAGAGCTGTTGCCGCTGCCAGCTGAGATCAGCAGGTCAATTTCGGTGAGGAAAAGAGGGAGAGGAGGTGCTGCCATTTCTCATATTCTTCTCCTCCCCGATAGTGGCGGTGCATTCAGCTGACCAAATCTGGCCTGCTGATGTCGGCTGGTGAGGGGAGAGAGAGACAGAGATAAAGAAATGAATGAACGACTTAGTGTGTGCCTTCAATTGGCTTCCAGCGCTAGAGAGGGCGGAGAAGGGAAG